GTTTATTTATCTGAACCTTATTCCGATTATCTTGAAAACGCATTTGCTGATACCTTCGAGAAAATTTTTGCTCAACGTTGCTGCTGCTATATAGCTAATAATGTATTTATACTTCCACTTGCTGCTCACCATTCTTATCAGTTGTCGGCGTTATCTCAGAACTATTATTTGTTATGTTTTGTTCTGTGACAACAACCCATTCGGACGAACCCATTACAACTTTTGTGGTTTGTTCTGTATAGTCATAATTTTTGTTTAATAATCCGTTTAACTTGAACCGGTGTCACATGTCGTCAGCTTAGGATAAAGATAAGTTGCTTATACTCAGTGAGATCAGTGAGTACGAGTAGTGTTGTCACGGGTTAAATCATGATCAAATATTTTATCACGGGTTAAACGAAACGTCATTTTTATCATTTCAATTATTTCAACTTTCAACATTTCCTTTTTTATAAACTGTGGTTACTTGCAGAAGTCTGTTGCTTTGTGCTCTGTAAAAACTCTTAAATAATATTATTAAGTAATATTATAATTGGTGTATACGTCATTAAAAATAAGGCAAAATAATAAAAATAAACTTACTCATTGAAAAATTTGACTACAACTTATTTTATAAATTCAAAATTTGTTTATTCTATTTAAGTCAATTATTTCATTGTAATAACTGTTATGAAATATTGAAATGAGATATGAAGTCTAAATATTATCAATGTGCAATTATATTCTTATTTCAACTCACAGTAAGCGGCATAGCATCTCAAAACGGTAAATTAAAAGTTATTTATTTTTAACAGTAATTGTTATTGATAAAATCAAATCATTCATAATTATGATTGTGATCAATCATTGTTAATAAACTAAACATATTTTTTTCACAGACGATGACCATATTGATTTATCRCTCTCTAAACAGAAACAAAAATCAATTCAAACTACAAATATGAATAATTCGACACATCCCAGGATGGTAGGTTATTAATTGGCAGCAGTGTTCTGACTTTATGAATGTTCTGTAGTTTTTATAAAAATTATCTAACTATTATATAATTAACAAAATATTTCATTTTCTTCGAATTAATAAGATATTATATCAAAGGAATATTTAAAAAAAAATGTGATCAGTTAACAACACTGATTTATTAGTAATATCTTTATGTTTTGTGTTTATCTTATAAATTTAATTTGTGAGACACCGCAGTTTAAAATAGGAATTAACTCTTCATTGTTTGTAGTTCAATACCAACAAATATTCTGTAATAGTTATTTTCTGATTAAAGATACGTCATGAAGACGATTTGGAACGCATAGTCTCTGAACACAAGGCTTGTTCAAGTATGCCATATTCAAGTATCAGTTGTCATATGAATTCGACATGTGTGTATGGAAATCAAACAATTGCTATATGCAAATCAAATGTAGATTGTCTGGTATGTAGTAATTTAAAATTTTTATTTTCATTTAATTAAGATGCATAATTTTTTTTTTTAGGGAGAAAATACATTTGCTAAAAACTTGACTTGTCGGTTTTGTTATCAGACAGAGTTCTGGGAATATGAATGTGTGAAAAAAATCTGTAATTCTGCTGCTTCTCCACCAACTTATTACCGGTTATAATTGAATAGATAAATACTTTTGTACCTACTAACAATTATTCATTTATTTTAGTTACTAAATACTTGATAATATAAAAATAATAAACTTTCATAAAATTAATAATTCTTTTGATTTTYACAATATGTAAATGGTTACTAACTTTATATATACATTTTGCAATTAAAATTTAAACTAATATTGTCGTTTATAATTAGATTTAGATAACACATAGAAACTATGGCAGATAAATTTGAAATAATAATTTTCTAAACATTCTTAAGAGGACACTACACACATAATTGATATCTCCGTCTTACAAGTGCRTAACGTAACAAATTTACACTTAGCATATTACAATTAACTCTGTTAGTTTAAAAATTTGAGTAAATTGACCAACTATGAAACTTGATGGTAAGGACATTATCTGTGTTTGTATGTTGGTTTTTACGATAACTTAGTTTTTAAGTGAATTATGAGCATTTTTTATTTATGCTTTTTTATATATGCCGAACTTGCTACAAAATTGAACTATTGTAAAAAAACCACATAACAGATAGTGCTCTTAACATCAAGTTTCATAATAGGGTCGACTTACTCAAATTTTTAAACTAACAAAACTAAATGCGTCCTGCTGAGCATTGTGGTATCACCCGTATTATCTAATAATAAACCAACTATATACGCCTCATCTTCGTACGCTTAAAGCTAGTGACTCTTTCTAGAACAAATTCAAAAAAGGCTTTTGTAACTTATTTAGGCGCGATGGTGTGCATTTATCTTTTCTACATTCGTTTCCTAAAATCGGAAATTACTATTAGGACTCATGTCCGGTAACGTTATTCAGTTTAAAATAAACTTCATTGACTATAGGTCTGTGCACTGTTCCAATATAAAGGTATGAACGAAAAAGACTTGAGTCTTGATATAATAATATTCAACTCGGTTTGGAAGCACTTTTATTAAATYAAAACACTTAGCAAATCCAGATTGCCTAACCCGTATTACGATTGCCATTTCACACGCACAATCGTTGTACCTACATTATAGCGGACTCACTCAGCGACAACAGGACAGCCCGCGCCTGTTTTTCTGGCGTCGTTATATAGAAAATATTTATGTCGCCTCTGGATGTCTAGCTTCACTGA